AGGTACCACACTCCGCACTAAGTATAACTCAGGTCTGATACACTACAGCTCGACAACAATGCCAATGACATCATGCGTTGTACAGCGAAGGTTTTTGAAGAAGTCTCCGCTCCTTTTGACACATTGTGGGAAGATCGAGTCGTGCTAGGTTGCTGGGCAGTATGTTTTACATTGAAAGGCCTGCCATCGCTGCAGCTGACGGGAGAAACCACAGGCGAACTATTTTCCTCTGTGCGAGGCCTACTTTCCCGGCTACCCAGTTGTCCATATTGGATTCTCCGTCCCATATTCGAGTCAATTCCTAGCGATTGAAAATATTGGGTACATCATGCTTCAAGAAACCCTCGTTTCGCCTCTAGGTAGGAGTTTTATTAGAGACGCTCGTGCTGCACAGCGCCCAATTCTTTCCTGGTCTGTCGATAATGAAATAGGTTTGGACTTGTGTGTAAGGAGGGAACTTGATGGAGTGGTAACGGACAACCCTAAGAAGCTCTTAGAGTTGCGGGAAAGTTCTATCAAGTCAGGGCGACCGCTAGCATGGTCGGTCAGGCGAATAGCCAGCGTCCTGCGTATCAACATGATTATATGGGTTTTTAATTTCATCTATGGAAGAAAGTATGGATTTGGGTTGGATCAACGATACACGACCAAAAGTCACTAAGCGGCGTTTGCCTCACAGCTAGTGAATTCATGCGGTTGGAAACTTTAAAGCAGTTGAATATTTACCTATTCCCAGACAACAGAGTCATGCTTAGCTCAAACATTTGCATTCATAGATATGAAAATGGGATTATACTTTCAATTTCTCACAAGGCTATCACCAAACAACGACTGAGAAAGTAGAATGAGACAGGGAAACGTTGACCATAATTTCCAAACCGAGAAGCACAACCTAAAGCAGATCATAATACAGTTAGCCGTGGTTATACATTGCGTGAATACCGCATTTGGTGACCGACAAGGCGGCCGGCAATCAGTAAAAAGATATGAAGTATTTAAAGTAAACAACATTCCATTGCATATTAGAGTTGTCCCCTGCTCAATGGAAGAGATCCAATACGTGTGTGGACATTACTCAACAAAGTGCTAGCTCACATGACCTATATGACAACCTTCCACTCGATCGGATCGATTTCCTGCCCTGTCATAAAGGTGATACTGCGCCTTAGCATTACTTCTAAAGCAACCATTTCGGTCTCGTCCCGGGGTGCGTAGATAATTAAGTAAGTATCTGCAACACCCAAAATGTTTTTCACCAAGTAGTGTCTTGGGACAGCCAGTCGATGTCGCTCAGCCCATCCCTTCTCGATTAGTATGCGAGCATCACCTCGCGAAACGTAAAGGTGGCTAGACGTATCCTCATGCGCATGTCCGATTTCCCCACGAGCAAGGAACACCGCCTCTGGCAATCTTGACGCACCCTGAGCTCGGTTATGTCGATTCAGGAAATCCTTCGTAGTGAACAAAGCACTATTACGGCGTTCGTATCCAGAAGTTCGGGTCTCCAAGAAAGTTGGGTTCTGAATAGCGGCGTTGGCGAACAGAGTTCGGATGGACTACATTGTAGTTGTCATGAGCACCTCTTGCAACAAAATCAAACATGGAAAGGTATGGACACATCATCAAGGAGCTTAAGGGGGAGGGCTACTATTGAGTTGGATCACTTACCTCTTTGACATGTTCAGGTGCGTTTTGAGATAGCTGCCTGTGTGGGCCAATCCCGTCACAAGTTGGCCTTTTGCCACTTCTAGGTGGGAGGGCTTTGATTTCCTCGTGGGCATCATCTCCTAGGTAATCCCCAGTCCATGTAGTATATTGCTTGGCCAAAGTGAATGGGCGAATCAAAAAAGTAATGACAGCCCATCCAAAGACGTTGTAGGGAGGGCCACCCGGACCAAGAGCCAGAAATCTTTTATAGTCGAGTATACACCAGATGATGCCTTTTACCACGGCGAGCGAGCCCCCTGCGACAGTAATCGAGATCCAACCCCGACCAGAACCCCATGAAGAGTTCGGCACGAGGCGACGCAGAAAATCCATCGAGACAGTTGAAGCGGATGGTATCTGAGACCTAGACCTATCTGCTTATTAGTGTCGAGACTTTGCTTGCAGGTCAGGTTTCTAGGCTTTATGTGCGCCACTGGAACCTGCTCTCTCTTCAGCAAGCCAGCTGTTACAGAGTAGTCTGCCCGTGAGAAAGGATGGGTTAACAAAACACATGAGAAATGCCTCATTAAAAATATTTCCCAGAGATTTGGAGTCCATTCCCCCAGTCAAAACCGGACTGAGCGCGGACTTTAGTAATTTTCCGCTCGATTATTACGGTTCCACGCAAAGTTCTCCTACGTCCGTACAGTATGGTTGAGGAGAATTAGAACCTGAATTGGGAAATGATGGCGGGAGTGCTGATGTCAAAGGGCAAAATCGAGAGGGCAAGATCAGCCGTGTCAGGTGGCCCGCAACGCACGACATTCGATCTAAAATTATAATACAGAGAATCAGTACGGAGCGGTGTCGCTGCACTCCACTGTCGGCGCCCAGAGTTCCGCCGAGCCCGAATGACAGCGATCAACGGGACACCGGGCTTTCATGCAATCCTTACTATCCACAACGCAAAATCCTACAGAATATCAAAGTATCGGAGGAGCTCGACTGGCCAGAACTTTCCCTGTCTTGGTCTTCCGATTGTCCCCGCTACTTTATTGTATCTGCGAAGATTGCATCATACAGTGGCTGAATAATATATTGTTAGTCGTAACTGTTCCACAACTAAGCCCCTGTCAAGTTAAACCATGGGGGGCCTGGAGAGTGAAGATATATGAGGCAATCAAAGATAAAAAGAGGTGGTGCGTACCCTGACATATTGCCCTGCTCATGATCACTATCCGTGATTTTCTGTCGACAAACTCTCAGATCAGCGCCATTGAAGTATATCTAGGACTAGGACCCTTTGTCTCACAAGCAAATTGATTCGACATAATTATGATATTCTATTCGAGAAGTGGCTCTTTTCTCTGGGCCTGTGTATGTTGCCTGTCTCTATTCGATTGGAAAACCGTTTACACAGGTGCAAGCCCTGTAGCTGAAAGAAAGCCAACTTTCGACTGGGCAAAGGCAAGTAATATCTCATATCGACATCGACAGACTAGCGTTGATATTGACCCTTGAAAGCTAGCTCCATCTGCGGTCTTGAACTGGACGCAATGCTTTGAGAATTACACGTGCACGAAACTGAAAGTCCCTCTTGACTATGAAAACCCTTCTATCGGAAGCACTGGCATAGCGTTCATCAAATTAGCTGCTAAGAACAACTCCGATACAGCGCCAAACATTTTGATTAATCAAGGTAAATTTTGCATGAAAGGAATCAATACTCGGCTCGCTAAATGCTTTCATAGGTGGTCCGGGAGGATCTGGAGTTGATTTCCTCCTGTCAACAGGATCAGAGTTGGAGGCCATTCTCGGATCTGACTACAACATCGTCGGCTTTGACCCCCGTGGAGTTAACAACAGTGGACCTGTCGTCGACTGCTTTCCCCGCCATTCGGATGCAAGGGAGGAGTTTTCCGATCAATTCTTTACTGTCACAGCCAATTCGTCTTCAAACTCTCTGGAGCAGCAATTTTACGCTGCTGACCTTTTCGGACAATGGTGTAGTGCAGCATTCCGGAAGAACGCCAGTGGCGAGTATGTGAGCACACCGGCAGTCGCTACGGATATGCTCACATATGCCAAAGCAGAGCAGAGAGCGGCGGGGAAACCGGAAGAAGAGGCCAAGCTGTGGTACTATGCTGTCAGTTACGGAACCGCTCTGGGTTCAACCTTTGCTGCCCTTTATCCTCAAAATGTGGGGCGATTGGTGCTCGATGGAGTCTTGGACGCCGAGGACTATTTCAACGGTGCGTGGGAGTCGAACCTGTACCAATCAGACGATGCGCTGGGTACCTTCTCGACATATTGCCACCAGGCTGGTCCCAATAATTGTTCTTTCTGGGGTCCGTCGTCGCAGAACATCACTGATAGACTAGACGTCATTATATCCACACTTCGAGATCATCCTCTGCCGGTAGCAGGTGTTGACAGTGAAAAAGGACCGGGACTTGCTACCTACGCAGATCTCAAGCAGCTCCTTCTCTGGGCCGTGTACGCTCCTGTTCAAAGATTTCCGGAACTCGCAGATGCTCTCAAAGCACTCGAAAGCGGAGATGGCTCCCAGGTCATGAACGGACTCGACAATGTGGTTGTCACGGATGACGAAGATACCATCATCAAATGTGTTGATGGCTATCGTGGAACTGATTTGTCCACTTTGGAAGCATACCAAAATTATGTAACACTTCTCGAGAAAGAAAGCCACTATTTTGGAGATGCATGGCCGACGAACGCCGACAATGTCCTTTGCAGGTCTGTGAACCTTACGACAACCGACAAGCGAGCCTTTTCTGGTACGTTGTCAACTTGAACTTGGCAATGACTACGAGACGCAACATACTTACCACGCCAAATAGGCTTCTTGCACCCAACCAGGTATAATACTTCATTTCCTATTCTGTATGTGGCCAGTACGATAGATCCTGTCACACCAACTTCGCAGAATCCTCCCAGAGGGTGAGTGAAGGCGGCTTGGAAGCTACGGTCAAGTTCCGACGACTGACTGTCGCAGGGCCTATAAAATGTCTCAATACTTTCCCGGGTCGGTCGTATTGCTGCAGGATTCCATTGGTGTATGTAGCTCCCGTCGAGCCGCAATAGCAGTACAACTAACACATTGAACAGCATACCGCCAGTATCAGCGCATCAGACTGTCTTGCAGAGAACATTAGCCGCTACCTTTCGGGCACCTTACCCAATGCCAACACGACTTGTCATGGAGCGCCAGTCCCCTTTCAGGACGCCTCAGCTGGTCATTGAGCAGATATCGGGTGAATTCACAGATATCTGCGTGAACAGTGGCGAGACCATTACACAACTTGGAATGCGGGACCAGCTTGGCCAACGTATTGGTCACCCGTGCCGTCACGATGGTTCGTGGTGCTGGCACCACGAATGGAAGTAACCAGGATGAGGCCAGTCTACTCTTCTTTCCTAAGACGGCCTACAATTATTTCTTACTGCAAAAGTTACTCGATAGTGGTTATGAGAGTATCTTTGCCCCTTTTATCACGCTCGAGCTCGGCATATCATGAATCAGTCTTTCAAACGACCGCAGGTTGGCCTGTAGCCTCATCTTCCACCGAACTACCTCTCGTTTCGATCGTTGCTCATGATCAATTTGTACTTTACTACGATGTTGCAGTCTTCTCGCACGTGCCGCAGCTCGGTACGCTATATTTCGTTTCCGATTGATGACCCGTTGATACTCCGCACGTTGTCTTTGCTCCTGTGCTTGTAGAAGATCGACTGTTTTGAGACTGGCGGCAGCTTCCAGATCTTTGGCAAGCTGAGTTTGTTCTCGCGCGACCATGTATGATAGAGCAACAGCGGAGAAAGCGGTCATGGCAAGCACCACGGTTGATTCGCAATTGCCCTGATCTGGAAAAGATGTCAATTAAAATCTATGAGCTAGTCTCATTTACAGCTCACTCGTTCTTTTTGTCTTGCAGTGGCGGACGGGTTACGTGCCAAAGCCTGCTGAACCGTGCTCAACACCCTCCCAAGGCAGGATGAGTATTCATTCTGTGTGATTCTGTTGATATGGTTTCGATGAACTGCCGCGTGACGGATTCTGCGTGAGAGCTGTAAGTCTAGCATGAATTGGTCTCTTCGATCTTGTATGATCCCGCAGTTCAACATAGATTGCCTATTGTCCAGACAATGGCGAGAAATATCATCAATAAGGAGCGTCAGCTCTGTAGCTTGTGGACAGGGCCATGACCGAGTCGAGAGTATATCTGGGGCCGCTGCCTCACAAAATGTGAATAGCGCTTGTTCGAGATCATTTGCCATTGAGTAAGGAGTAGATGAGTTTTGAGAAAGCTATACAAGTCATGTTAGCTCTCCGAATATGACTAGGTATGGACACGAACGTACCTGCATCCACCAAAATATTGTGAGATTACTTAAGCCTCAATCTCTGTTCCGGCTGGCATAATGATCACGAGGGATATTGGAGGCTCAGAGTTTGTTTGAATGATATTCGAATAAGTTCACTTTCAAGAACTGGATCTCCCTTTAATATGCCAAACTGGCGAAGTTCTGTAAGATTTCAGCGCTCAATCCAGAAGTCCCTGTCTTTGCGTATTCAATAGTCTCGCAGGAGATAAGGTGCACGGATTGTTTCGTGATCCTGTTCAGCTTTGATAGAGGATAGAATACTATACGCTCGATAAGAGTAAATTGGATCATTGGTTGAGGGTTAAGGCTCTTATCAAAAGAAATCAAGCTAACCTTGCGCCGAACAAACACTTATCTCATTTCGATCTCGTGCTCGCACTCACACCGGCACTGACGTAGAATCCATAGATCTGTGCATCAATAGACTTTACGAAGCTTCTTGACCCGCATCACATTCTGATGATACTCCTGCTCTTTCAAGTTGTCTCTCTGTCGCAGGCTACGCCGGCGACGCGGGTCTTTGTTTGCTTGCAGGGATCCCAGAAGCCAAGCTTCATCACTGAGTTTGCTTTCCGGGGTCCAGCAAGTTTTCCATTTGATCCGATAGAGCGCTACACCAGCCTGTTCCTTTTTCTGGATGACAGCATGCACATGAGAAAGGGCGCCTCCGCACTCTGCTTGACACTTCCGTGCATGCGGGTCTAAGGCCAACATCCGATCTTGAAGATCGACCAGAGCCATACTGTGGAGGTTCTCCAACTTGATCTCGGCGTCAAGCTCCTTAGCCTTCAACCCAGTCACGGCGTTAGCCGGGACAAAATCCTTTGGACGCATCCACCGATCCTTAGTATCCAATAGATACTCGTACTCTCCATGGCTGTAACAATATCTCCGGTCGTAGGCAGCGTCATGGTCCCAGAGTCCATCGAAGGGAAGTCCCACGGCCTCAGAGTCGAAAGAAGGTAAGTCCCCTGGGCTCCGCGCTCTGGTATCAGGATCTGCCACATTATGGACGGTGGCGACGATGCTAGAATCTGCTGCTGAGTTGTCCGAGGTGAAAGAGCTTGTCTGAGACGACAGAGCCGTTTGGGCTGTCTAAGCTGTCTGCATGTTGAGGCGACTCTGTGGTGTCACATTCTGCCATGATTTCTTCAAATGCGTCCGCCAACAGTTGAGACGGTTCATGTCTTCCCCTTTTGGACAAACGCTTCGAAGTCGACAACAGGAGAGGTGAGGTGATTTTGTGGGAGTTGGATCGTGGAACGAGAGGTCGAATTGTCTTGCCGGAGCGAAGAATTCGTGCGCCTCGAACTCCTTGAGGTCGCGTTTGAGGCATAGCTGAGAGAATCGATTGCAGAGCGGTTGGTATCTTTCAAAATCTTTCAAGGAGTGAGATCCAAGGAGTAAGAAGGAAGACAAGATGTAAAAGGACACATTGGGGGTCAGCGACCGTACTTATACCCATCGACGAGGGATTTTGACAAGTGCACAGCCTCTCTCCTTGTTCTCATTGGCGACAAGGTGAGACGAGACAGGATGACAGGATGCAGGGCGAATCAGCTTGATAAGTAGGGGGCCGTGATACTACCTGCTTATGCATAGTTGCTTCAGGTTGCCTTCCGTCGCTTGCAAGCGGATCTTATTTGACAGAGCTCTGCAGGGAGGTCACAACTCGCGGACAGTAGCTCGTCCTTAGCTGTGTTGTCCCAGTAGCTAAACCTTTACTGCTGCTAACATCCGACCTGTTGTCGATATTGCATAGGTCGGTATGAGGATAGAGTCGTCTTCGAAAGGAGTGAGATAAGAAAAGATTTGCTTCAGCGATAATAGGAACGTATAGCAGTCAACAAGTCGGAGTCAGTGTATCTGCGTGGGCGCGTATTGGCAGAGTGCCTAGAGTGTTCGTCGACCAGGCATTATTTTTGTTTCCAGGGGTTTTCCAGCGAGATGCTGGACAATGCCCTGGACTCAGCAGAATTAACGAAAGTATACATCCCGAAAATTTCATTCTCATTGCGCGGTGTCTTCAATAAGCCGTCAGCAAACTTCTCGGCTACCAAGGATGTATATTAACCATATCGCCCAGTCAATTCACCGGCCTCTCGCCTTGCCTATGGTTGGGAGTAACGATGTTGGTGCAACATGTTGTACCTCCCTACTGCAGCATTTTGTCTTGAGCGATTGGGAGACTCCACGGTGAACCCGTGTACCTGTGAGAGACTAAGCTAGCTAGCTCTCACTTTCGCAGCCACGATTCTTAGCTGAAGTATATGGCTAGAGATAGGTGTTGTGATATGAGGCTCAACCAACTATCATGACATTCAGGAAAGCTTCATGGAATGATTCCGCATGCTTGGAAATTGTAGGGAAGCTTCTAGTATGTCACTTCGATGTATATATACTTCTTCCTTAAAGAAGAAAATAGAAGAAAAATAAGGATAAAAAAAAAAAAAATGCTTCCACTGCCATAATTCACAACAATAGGGAGGCGTAACGGCTGAGAGTTGATATAACAGGCGGATATTGCCATCTGGATTCTGTCGCAGCTTTTGCGATATGTATTCCGTTGGCTTCTTGTCATTCTTTGCGTATATAAAAACATTCGCTTGTAACTTTGGCAGTAGGTACTTTTGCTGATCGTGGCCTCGTCACAGGTGAGAGATATCAATGTTGAGAGTTAAACCTTAGCGTAATAGGAGGTAGAGAACAGTGCTGCTATTCGCAAGGAAGGATGAATTATAGACTGGTTCATCTGAGTTGGAAAGACTCCATCCTCTGAGGGACATATTATCTACAGTTCCTGAATCGCCGTGTCAGTACAGTAGCAATCATCGCCTTACGCAATAAGAATAAACTCCAAGCTAGTCCGATTCAAAAGAGGAAAGTGCGCCGAGAACTAAAACACTTTAATGCTATCGAGAAATGTTATGTTAAGAGACTCCTGCACACCGAACATTTTCTCAGTGGACACAAGATTTCTCTGATTGTCTCCGTACGTTTATCTCTGGCTCGGGAAGTGCGCCGTTGAGGTAAATTACACTTTGCTTTTAGGCTTTGCAAAGTCTCTGACAAACTTGAGAACTGCAAGTATTGACCACCAATTCTACGTTTCAACTCCTTCCTGCAACTCACACACTCCTAGAATATCTTGCTTTAAAATCTAATCACACTTTCCAAAGAGCGGATAGCTACGCCGGCATTCTTCGTGCCTCCACGGCCCGCCGAAGAGATGTCCAGACGCTCGGAAGCAGAGGTTCGCAAGCGGCAAGATGCGGCATGATTCCACTCCTGAACCTGCTTTCCAGAACAACATGATACCTATTCCTACGATGATCTCTGCGAAATAGAGCGGAAAAGATTCAAGCCAGAAGGAATCGGCACCCGACGAGGTACAAAACCAGAGACTCTCTATTAGGAGTGCATAACCCGGAGCCTCAAAGACCTCCTATCTAAGCCTATGTAGCGAAACATCTTTCAGAAACACTACGTGAACGATGTACCAGCTATAGAGTGTTGACGAAACGTCACAATGGATCCGAATGAGGGATACGCCGGGCAACAAGAAGTAGAAGAGTGATTTTCGATTAGGGATCAGAGCTGCTGGAAACTCTAGGCCGAGCCTCTTCGAGAGAAGGAAGCTCTCCGTGAACACAGCATGCAGATTGAGTATCGGGGAAAGAAGGCAGAGATATGAGGGACGCGAAGGGATTTCTGATACTGCATACTGTCGCGATGTAGTCGACGACATTTTGCACCGCACGCAGAAGGTCACATCCGGTCCTGTCAACACGTTCCCACTTCTGTGATCGAATGCAGAGGATCAGTCTTATTGCGCCGACATTGGGTTACGGGTAAAGTCAGTGACGAGATCACCGATCCAACATCTGCTCAGGCAAGGTCCGAAGAGCAAACATGTCTTGGGCGCCAAGGACTGTCGGCACTCCTCTTAGGGTGGTCACGATCGAGGGGGCTTATGTTGCTTTTAAGTCGTTCCATGTTTTGCAAAGCCCTTCATCGTCTCTACTCCGATTGACCGTTGTTGATCTGAAAATCTCACCTCCGTTGTGTCATCTTTTTAGATCCTGATTGCGCTACTCTGATCCAATTAGGTAGACACATCCTGCAACCTATTTTCCGGACCTTCACGCTCCTACGATCCTCTTACCTCTCCACGGTAGTACCACTCACTCCCCATCTAGGTAGTTGCCTCCAAGCTTTGAACATCCATGCGATCTTTTCCTCTGGCTAAAACTGATCGAAAAGAAGATCAAGCTATCAGAAGCACTTAGTGATGAAGATAACATTTTTCAGATGCTGGGATATCCAAAGAGCACGGATGGAGTCAATAGTCCTACTTCATCAGAATTGTATTCTTCAAACTACTGCACATCTCACATCAAACCGAATGCGTGCAAGCTTTGGTATCTCTCTGACTGGATACATGAAAGTATCAATCTATGTACTCCTATTTATTTCAACTGGAATGGGCATACACGCTTTTTGTCCGCGTTTCCCTTTCGCATGAAGAGTCGTTCTAGCGGTACTCTTTGGCAAAGATTACTTCCTGGCCTCAGTATATTGCGAGAGACACCGGCTAGGTTGGGTTAATACTAGGCCACCACGGTGGATGCGAGCGTGGAACACCCCCCATTAACTGAAACTTGCGGCGTTGATGCTCAAACATGCGATTGGAAATAGATTCGCGGATCCTTGCTTTCTAGCAGGCAAAGTCTCGTCCCTTGGTTGCAGAATTTGCTGGTACTCTGCTGGGTCGGAAGGGTGGTCATGGTGGTCGAAGGAGACAGTAAACAAAGACAACTTGGAGCCAGATACAAGACTGCATCACGAGTTCGTCTCGTGTCAAGTATTCCGAGGAAATGACAATCACGGCCTGGAGTTGATAGGCAGAAGATGTTTCGGTTGAGCCGCTTCGATAAAATACGCCACTCCTCCTCACAAAAGCTGGCAAGTTTCCCTTACCAACTTCTCAAAGGTTTAGGTAAGGCCAAAGTCGGCAGAGACCTTTCCGAATTGCCGTCCTCATAGCTGGGAAATAATACCATGGCAATGACTGGGATCGCTGTACACTCATGGAATTTAAATCTTGGTTCAGCTCGCTCATCGACTCGTACTGTCCCTGCCAACAACCCATAATTATGGACCGGAAGCGTAGATTTTCCACGGATGGAAAGAAGCGTTGGCGATACATGTCCTCCACGTATGACAATTTTCCGTCCTGCGACATGTGCTTAGTCTCGTTGTAGAACGGCGGTGCGCCTGTCTCGATTTCGAATACGGTACAGCCGAAAGCAAAGATATCAGTTGCCTGGCTAATTGGAGGATCCGGGTGCTCTGGTGGTCGATAACTGTACTCGTCATAGTTCGCCAGTGCTTCTTGATCGTCAATTTGAGAGCCACCGAAGTCAAGCCACATCGCGACATCATCTCCGGAGATAATTGCATTGGCAGCGTTGAGATCGGCGTGTATGACATTGTTATCGTGCATGTACTGCAAACCACAGGCAAGTCCACTGACCCATTTTTCTTGCTGTTCATTTGAGATGTCGCCCTCTTTTAGTATTTCTCGCAGACACCGTCCCGCCTGCAGAACAATTGTTCTGTCTTGGACATAATGCAATTCTACTACATTTGGATGCCTGCCCAGTCGCCGGAAAACGTTGCATTCTCGGATGAAATTCTCGTCATTGCCGCTATAGATTTTTGCAGCTCGACTGCCAGTAATGATTATGATGGCAGTGGATCCCTGAATGTGCTTCGGCATTTCCAGGGTACCACGGTGAACTGATCCGTGGGCATGGATGTGATGATCCGTAGGATGATACAGAAGCATAATACTGCTGCCAAAGGGGGAATTCAATTCTTATGGAAAAGCTGAAAGGGGGCAATGAAACTCTAAATCTCATTTGTTCCTATTAGGCCATAGTGACGTAATTAGGCTTGCATGACCTTCCACGCGAAATTGATCTTTCTGCCCGTCCTGCTAACGAAATGGCCTGCAGAGAACTTCAAATAATCCATCAATTCAACCAAGTCACGCCGCATGGCTATCTTTTTCCACCTGTCATCAGCGGGCGGCATTATTGTCCAACTGGAGAAATGTGTTAAATGCAGTAGAAATTTGTTGTGGTCGCGATTCCTTACCTTCTCAATTCGAACCGTTCCCACGGACACTCCCGAGTCACGGCAGGTCGGACATTGGCCACCAATAGGAGTTGACCCGAACTGGGCTATGTCGACTCTCTCCATGGCGTCGCTGCAATAAGCCTGCGAGTTTCGAGCTTTCGGGCATCTGTCGTAATAACGCTGCTCTACTTG